AGTGCTAGGATTACAGGCATGAGCCACCACACCTGGCCCCAAATGCAGGTTTTGATTCAATAAGTGTAGAGTGGGCCCTGAGAGTCAGCATTCTTACAAGCTCCCAGGAGATGCTGATATTGTGGATCCGTGGATTATCCTTCTATCCATGGGTGGCTGGGCTCTAGACAGTGATACTGGCCTTTATAGTCTGACTTCCTTTCCTTACAGGAACCTACTGTGAACATTTTTACATATGAAGAGACATATTAGGATGACTTTTTGGCTGCATTTATACTCAGTCACGTGAGCGTATCTTGATTTTGATTTAGTGATCCAATTTCCTATTGTTGATTATCTAGGTTGTTTTCAAATTTTCTTCTCTTTCTTTTCCCCTTTCTGTCCCATTACAAATAGAGCTGAGATGAATATTCTTGTACCTACACATTTGTGCACTTGTCTGATTAGTTCTTTAGGAAATACTCTAGAAATAGAGCTACTGGTTAAAAGGACAAGCATATTTGATAAGTACATTTTCAAGGCATTTAACTTGTTTTCCTTTCATCCTAAACAAGCCCATAAGTCAGAAATTATTCTTCAAGTCTCAGGGAGTCTCGGGGAGCTCAGTGCTTCATCAACATCTGAGGCAATCACAAGGTAGTGTGCGAGGTGATGGAATAAAAGTCCAGGCAACAAGAGGAAGGTGGGTCAGGAAAGGCTTCTGAGAGGATGCAACCTCTAGACTCGGACTTCTTGAGTTTGTCTGTTCACAGCTGTGCGCAACAGTGCACCTTAAATGCATGCATGAGAAAGAATTCCTAATAGACTCTATAGCTAAATGATTTTTGCCTGACTAAATAGCATCACCTGAAATACAAAACATCAAACAAATTCCTCAAAATGAATCAAAGCAAAATAAGAGACTTCCTAATAATTTATTAGGCCTGTTTATTTCTATACCTTTTAAGTAGGCTTAGGAAAAAGGTGAGGAAACAACAGCATTTTTTAGTATTAGATAGTATTTAGTATTAGATAGTATTTATAGGGATTAATGAGGTCAGGTTATGAGACTCTGTCATCAAGTTTAATTGACATCTTCTTTCTTTAAAATTGGTATTTTTACGCTTGACTCCTTATACTAACCTATAGAAGATTTGGAAGAAGAGTGGAATATTCACTTTTTTTATTATGTCAAAATTTTGTTTTTTAGAGACAGGGTCTCACTATGTGGCCCAGGATGGTCTTGAATTCCTGGCCTCAAGCAATACTCCCGCATCAGCCTCTTGAGTAGCTGAGACCGTATGCTCATGCCACCACACCTGGCTAACAATGAAATATCTTAACACGGTCTTAACTCTCTTTCATGGCCCAGCTACCACACCTGAAAGAATGTATCTCAAATATTGTAGCCTGGAGCCAGTAGGCTGGCCGAGGGGCTTCTTAACTGCAATCCTGTCAGGTGAAAATAGACCTTCATTCTGGGATGTTACCCTACCAAAGGCAGCAGAATGACCCCCCAAAGACCTTTTGAGGTTCCTTCCACCCAAGGATTCAAGAATTTTCAATGGATGCCTCTGTGGGAATAGTTAACAGCTAACTAGTGAACAGGTAGTTGGGAGTAGAGGAAAAATGACAGACATCAGAGTACAGGAATTCCACTATGCCCTGGTCTTCAAGAAAAATCATGGCAAAACGTTCTGGAGCACTAATATTTTCTGCTTCCATGGTGACAAATATATGACACAAATGTTGCAACATACACCAGCCTGCTGCCCTCCCATGCTGGTCTGATGCCCTGACAGACATTACTAATCGGTCACTACACTCTTCCTGAATCCATCCCAGATCTCAGAGTCTCACTGAGACTCGGGGTTGCTGGGTGGTACCACTCCAGGAAGTACCAGTTGTATTATACTCAATGGGAATGTACCCCTGCCATCATAAAATGGGGCAGCCCTGCCATTGTGCATAGAACATAGTAGACACAAAATAAAAATTCACTGAATGAACCAGATATCACCTCTGAATCCTTCTCAATGTAACGCTTCAAACAGCCACTACAAATTGATTGGATTTGGCATGCAAGTTGAACCTATTTGCTATTCCTGCTTTAAGGAAACACAGTAAGAGGCTGCCAACATGAAACATATTTAATCATCTTTGCACAAGTGTGTGTTGGGTACATGCATAATGTGTATGCAAATACAGTTTGCTTAGAACATGCAACTCTCTCCTCTCCCTCCCTCCTACTCCATCCCTAAATATACGATTTCATAAAAACCACACCTGCGACTGCTTATTGGAATGGGAAGGGCTCCAACTTATGTTCTCAAATTTATAACACTTGCCTGTGGATTTCTACACCACGGCTCCTGTGATAAACTACAGTGCCTGGCAGAAAGGTGCAAAATATTTATATCTGGGCCTAACGAAGTTTTCCTTGGCTTCCCAACCTGGGTTGATTGCACCCATGTTTGTGGACATTGCTCTTTTCTTTCTCCTTCCTTGTTTGGCTTCACACCTGTCCCTCTCTACTGCTCCCATGGCATCAGACTAAGAGAAGAATCAGACATGAGTGGTACTGAAGAGGTCATTGGAAAATTCCAAAATTTGTTAAAATTTTTGAAAAAATTAATTGAAAAAGTAACAGGAAAGGAAGGCAGGATAAGCACATTTTGTATTCATCTCCCAAGGTTTGCGGTGTTGCTCAGCCTCATGACGAAATGGGGATGCACTATTTCACTGGCCATGAAATAGTACATCTCATAATCCTGTTGTAAAGACAATTTCAAAATAGACGCCTCTCCATCCATTTACTGTTTTTGAAAAAATAGCATTAATTTACAAATGTTCTGTTCCTAATCAGTCACAAGGAAAACCATCCTGCCTTCACATTTATCCTTTTCCCTTATACTCCCCTCAGAAACCATCATGCTTAGGGGAAAAAAATCTTAAAACAATTCCATTCCATTCCTTCCAGCAGCTTACACTGAGTTTACAGTTTTGACAGTGTAATTGTCCATCCCGAGCCTATGGCCTCTTTTGCTAAAGAGCAGAAGGAAAAATCTTATCTTGACCAAAAAGTAAATAATATCAGGCAATAGTAGAAGAAAAGATAAATATTTGGGATAGATAAATGTTGGTTTGATTCGGCTAGGACCATAGCTTTGGGTTATTAAAAGAACCTCAAGTGGATAAAATTTGGCCCTAAATTTTGTAGTGAGGTTAGCACTACCCTATGGGAAATGCAAAACATTCTTCTCTTATTCTAGTTTTAGAAATGTCATAGGAAACACATTTAAAGTCCATTAAACGTGATTGGAGTTGACAAGACTCCTTCTGGTGAAAGGCTGGGTAAAGCAAGAACTAAAAGTTTCCCATCAGCTCTGACAACTTTAGCTAGTGGTTGATACTATGTGTTAATCAAAATGGAGACAAAACTAGTGACCCCTTGAGAGCCAAAATAGCTCCTTATTGAAAGAAATGGAGTTAAAAATTATAATAGAATATTGACTGCTGTACCTTCTGGAGATTATAAATTTGCAAAATCTGCTTATGTAGTTATTAGTTGAAGCTGAAATTGCCAAACGGGCCCCTAGAGGTGTGATAGGAAGGCGCATATTGGAAGATCTGAAATCTTGATCCCTCTCTGAAGGAAGGGTGGCTCCAGTCATGTACAGCTTGAGCTGGAGGCTGGATAGGGTTGAGTAAACTTTGGGTTAGTTTTCTCACAGTTTTTGTTAATGTGTGTTGAGTGTTGGCTTGCTTTCTCTCCGATTTTCAGACATGGGGCCCTTGGGAGCAGTAACCCTCCAGCCAGGCTTTCTGGGAAGGTTCACATCCAAGTAAAACATGAGTTTTCTGAGCCAATTTGATAGACAATTGGTCTGAGCAGAGCTCTTCTTTTGCCAACAGATAGAAATGAAGCTGGGAGTCTTACAATACCCAGGGCAGGGAGAGGATTAAAGCTTCGGGCGAGCAGAGCGTAGGGAGGTGTGAGGATGGGAAACTACCTTCCCGGGATGTTGGAAACAAACGTATGGTGCCGCAGAGAAAAATCAGCACTGAGACAAAGGATCTTTTAGCAATGTCATTTTTACTTCCTGGACTGCAGGAAGGGTGCCCTTGCTAGCCATCTTGCCACGAGAGTACCATGAACAAAGGAAAACACACAAATTTATCCCTTACGCATTTGGGGTTGTCCTTACTGTTGCGTCTGATCTCCGTTGGCTGGAGCCAGACCTCACAATCTAAGCTAAAACCCAATTGGCTAATGATTTAAAACTTTTCTAAACAGGTGAAAGCAGTGGAGAGCTGGGACATGCCTGTGAACATGTCCAGCACAGATATCTTGGTTAAGTACAAGGTAATAGAATGTGCTACATGCTTGTAAGCATGGCATAGCTAACAGCTACATAGGATAAGGCTTATCAAAGTTATTAGCAAACTTACTTTTTAACAAGAAAGGAAACTTTAAAAAGGAACTTTTCTACTTCCCACGTAGGAGTTGACAGGTGGCTGATGATGACTCTTTCATTACAACCTCACCACCGATCATTTAAGGATTTAGGAGTTACGGCAAAGTGGCGCGTACAATCTGTGAGGTTTAGGTGCTTCTCCATGTCATCTCTTCTGTACCCCCAGCACCTAGAACACACAGTAGGCCCTCGATGCTGGGTACTATTGACTGTTGGAAAGAGCACAGGTGTGGTTTAGCACAGCCCCTCCATTGTCATTTATAAGCTGAGAGGCCCTGGGTCTGTTACTTAATTTTACTAATGTTTTTCAATTTTTTTCTTCTATAAAGTGGAATTGTCATTTTTACCTGGTAGGGCTGTTTGGAGGATTAAGCAACACAAAGAAGGTGAAAGGCCTATCACAGTCGCTAAATAAGTATTCCTTATTTTCATGATTACCAATTAAATAAATGCTTGATAATCATCAGAATGCATCTGTACTATGTGCTAGGTGCTGTCCTATGTGGTTAGAGGATGATACTATTTCTATCTTCACTTTAATAGATGGAAAATGGAGTTTTAGAGATGAAAAGAAACCTAGAGGGAAAGGCACGTGGGACCTGTGGCTGAAAAGAGGCTCTAGGAATTCTGTGGCTGCCAGAGGTGAGACCTAGAAGCAGACACGGGCTATTGGGTTTGTTCCTTGAAGGGATCCAGGCCCTCCTGAATCTCGGCCAGTCAGTGTCACAGACCTTGGGACTGTGCAGAGTGAGAATCCAATGAGCTGCCTGAAGCTGGTGTTCACCAAGAATTTATGGAAGCCTTTATTGCTATTTCCAACTAAGAACTTTTCTTCAATCATTTATGGAAAACATAAAAGCCAGTGGGAATCAACTAGGATAAAACAAGGTCAGAATCACTCTTCCAGATGCTGAGCACAGCTGGTTTTTGCTTAAGCAGTGGGAGCAAGAAAGGAGGATATGCATTGACTATTTGGGTCAGAAACAGCACCTTAAAATATCTCCTCCATAATTCATCTCGTCCCAAATAGAATGTGGGGTCAAATTGCAGACCCTAAACCTTTTCATCCCTTCTCCTCCCCCTCCTTCTCTTCTTCTTCCTTTTCTTCTTCTTTTTCTTATCTCATGGAATTGGTATGAAAAATTAAGGATTTTATTCCATAAAGGCAAAAAAAATATCTCTCTGGGGTGGTAGATACTGCAATCCCAGAAACAAGCTGGAACGCACTGAGGGCTTCCTTATATGCCTAAATGCAGGCTGCTCTTCCTCTGCCTCTGTTTTATAGTTGGTGGGGCCATTGCCCTGGGAACAAAAAGGAAAATGGGAACAATCCTAATTTTAATATTCATAACTCATGAGCAGGCTGAAGTTTTTTTTTTAAATAAGTTAATGGTTGTCCTTTGAACTTAGAGTACCCCTCTTACCCAGGGGGCTTTAGAGGGGTTTGAGAAGAGCCAACCAGCCAAGATCACCCTTCCCACTCCATGACCTCTAGATAGCACCCTGCCTGGGAACTCGACAGAGAGAATGCATCTGTCCAACCCACACTGGCTATCTCCAGGAGTCCAGAAGAGCATGACTCTTGCTGCCAGCAACAGATCTAAAGCTGCCAGTAATCCATGTGTAACTGTAGAAAGGACTACTGGAGGGGGTTATGACCAGATTGGCACAATCACATATTTGGCATTCTCATATGCTGTTCATAACACAAATCCATCAGTCCTCCTTTTGGGGATACACCCCGGAATGGCCGGAAGAGACAGACTGGGGCCCACTGTTCTGAAGTGTGGTATGGTGGTGGTGTGCCTGGGAGGGGTAGCAGGCACATATTCCTGATGGGAAGCCACCTTGACTGATCCCAGGGTCCCCACCTCCTCCTGAAAGCAGACGAGAAAGCCTGGGTTTGTACTCTGATTGCCAGTGTGCCTAAGAGTCTAGAATAGATTTCAGTGAGACGGAAGAATGATTATTTAAATGATACAAGCGTTCGCTTTTAAAGTGTGGGAGAAGGAAAGCGTGGAATTTAAAATGCCCTTGAGTCTGCCCATGGGAAAGAGTTTAGGGAGTGACACAGAGCAGAAAGGAAGGCTTTTAGGGGGGAACCAAAGACTATTAGAGTTCTTTTTGGGAATGGTAATGAGCTATTGAAAAATGAGGCCTGAGAAGAAAAAGCAAGAGGGGAGAAGTCTGTGATAGAAAGGTAAATGAGTCATCTGATGAGTTGAGTGCATCTCAATCTTCAGGGTGCATTAGAATCAGAGGGAGGCAGGAAGGTGACTATAAAGTGCCTTTCCCTAGGACCTCTTGAGGCTTCAACGCAATGGGTCTGGGCCATGGTTTGATCACGATGTGGGCACTCTGCAAAGCACTCCTTAAAATACACTAAATAGGGCATAGAATCAAGAAACCCAGAAAAATTTCTAGGCCCAGAATGAGTGGAGGGCAATGGTTGAAAGGGCAGCTGCCGAGGTGGTAGGTCCCTGTCTTATAAGGACAGGTTGCAGGGTACACGAGGGGCCGAAGAATCCCAGGGTGGACTGAGGACAGTGTGGAATGCCTGGGAGGCTGGGGTGTGGAATGCATGAGAAAGTTGCTCCAGGACTCCCTGCTCCCCCAGGGTGCAGATCATTTAATGGTCTGCAAATGATTTAACATGCCCCCTAGTCAGGGTTCCCAGGGTAAATTGTCTCCATTCCCATCATAGAGGAGCTGTGCTGTCCAACAGCTAAGAGGCGGGGAGCCACTGTGCTGGGATGCTTTGGCCAGAATGTTGCTGGAAGTGGCACTGTAGCAATTACTGGTTAAGAACTAACTGCAATTATTAATTATGACCCTAACAACAGTTGAGGTCCTGCATAATTCTTTCTGTGGGCCGCCTTTTGCCTGTGGAGCCCAATTTCGCAAACATCTCATTAGTCTTATAATAGTTCTTATATATATATACATATATATATATATATATATTTTTTTTTTTTTTTTCCAAAGTCAGTTGTATGTAAAAAAAGGATTTCGGTGAGAAGTAGATTTATTTTTAGCCAAGAGGTGGCAATACCCAAGCTTTCCTTCTCAGTGCAGGGCTCATTTCTCTTTCTCTATTTAAATATTCAGATCTATTACTATATTGAACTGAGATTTGGTTTATTCGGGTAGAAGTAGCTAAATAAAGATACACACTTAGAAACTCATAACATCATATGTTTAAGTGCTGGAACAAGGTCTAAGTTAAAATTGGACTTTTTGATTTTCACTGTAGATAGAGTTCAGAAATACTGTCATAGTTTAAAAAAAATCAAAATGTTTCACCTCCGGGAGAAAATGAAACTCTGTGATATAATACATGGTGCTTGTGATTTTATTCAACAGTTTAATCTTTACATACAAACAAAACCACCAGAGCAGAAGCTTGTTTCTTAAAAACAAGAGTGGCGAGTATGATAATGAATGCCCTGAAAACATCTCTGTTCATCCTATGGAATTCTCTTTCTGAATTCTCATGTGGCTTTCCCTAACATGGAGCAGGGGGCTTTAAGTCACATTGCCTCCCAACTGCTATGCCTAAACTGTTTCTAGAAGCACTGAGTCCCCTCCGCTGCTGCTGCAGATTTAGCTTTGGGCTGGGGAGAATGTGGGGAGAAGTCATTTGCATTAAAAAACACTAGCTGTCTATTCCCATTAGAAAAAACACTCGGTGTTTTAGTGCAAATTATTTTAAAAGGGCAGATAACTTATGGATGCAGAAAGGGTAATCCACAAAGATGTATGCAATTTTGTTCAGTTGATATCCTCAGGGCGAAAACATCAAGGATAACAAGTGTACTAAATACAAACAGACACAATCATAAAATATGACACCCATGATTAAGATACCCTTTTCAAGGGTCCTTGGCACTTAGGAGGGAAGCTGCCTTGTTAATATCAGGGCCCATTATTTTCTAGGATTCAGAGGCAGGTTGAAATGATCTCTATTTTAGTGACTGTATTCTTAAAAGGTTGTGAAATTCTGGGGCTTTAATCAGACTAGCCTAGAATCACAGCTCTGGGGCAGAGAGGGTATTAGTGTTAAGGGTTATGAGCTCAGTCTTTGGAGCTGGACAGATCTGGTTTTGAATCCCAGCTCTGACACTTAGATGTCATCTTCTCTGAAGTCTAGGGGTCTTCATCTGCAAATGAGAAATTGAGGTTGTTGAGATGATTAAACACAACAAAACAAAACTAAAAACCCAGATGTAAAGTGCTTAGTGTAGTGCCTGGCACAGGAGAAAAAAAAAAAAAAAAGTGTGTGTGTGTGTGTGTGTGTGTGTGTGTGTCTCCTAGTGCCTGATTACAGAAAAGATTGGAGAATTTTTAAAATGCACTATCCACTGACATATGAAGGAAAGAGATTTTTATGGTTTAAGAAAAATCACACCAAAATCTTGGTATTTTAGGTAGAGAAAAATGGAAGCGCATAACTCTGCGTTTGTGGATGGCACTGTTCATAGCCAAGGCTTAGGTATATCTCTTTCATTTATCTGAGAGTAACAGTTAAAGTTCTTGAGCATTTGCTTGATGCCAAGTGCCCTCTAAATGCTTTATATGTGTTGTTTCATGTAATCTTCAAAACATCTTCCTGAGTAGGCACTAATACTATCACAGTAGTAGCCAGTCAGGCATGAGCAGGGCAGGAGAGGGCTTCCCCGACCCCCCACCAAGAATGTCAGACGACCATCCGGTGACTATCCGGCCGTTAACTGTCTCTCTAAAATAATGATTGTTCACAGCCGGCACCAGGGAAAGGCAGTCTCCCAATACAAACACCTTAAAATGGCGATTAGCAGCTTCCCAGTAAGATGTCAGGAGTTGGGCGAGTGGGCTCACGCATGCGCATTAAGAGGCAAAATGGCGGTGCTTAATTGGTATATGACCTCCTAGGGACGTTCCACCGGTGAGAGAAGACTGCTTCAGGTAAACGTGCGTGCAACTCCAGTGAACACACTGCACATACTCCCCTCTCAAGTGCTGAGAGGCCACTGTGCACGTGGACAGCCCACCCCAGGGGAAGAATCAGAAGAGGACACGAGACCCCAGAAGCATGCCAGCATGGAAAACTCAAGTCAGAAAGGTGAAGCCAGGCCCCTGATCTCTCATTGCCCTCTTGGGCCTCTTCCAAGTGTATTTTATTTCCTTTTGTCCCTTCTCTAATTAATAAACTTTCGCCTCCCTGGTTCAAGCAGGTCTCCGGCCTCAGCCTCCCGAGTACAGGTACGCGCCACCACGCCCAGCTAATTTTTGTATTTTTAGTAGAGACGGGGTTTCACCATGTTGGCCAGGACGGTCTCTATCTTTTGACCTCATGATACAGGCATGAGCTACCGCGCCCAGCACCTCAGTCTCTCTTTATGTCTTCTGCCCCTCAGTCGAATTCTTTCTTCTGAGCAGGCAAGAATTGAGACTGCTGCAGATCCCTACAGATTCGCAGCCACTGCTAACAATACTATCCCCATTCCACAGGGCAAGAAACATAGGAACAGAGAAGCAAAATATTGATAATTTGTCCAAAGTCACAAAGCTAGCAAGAAGTGGAACCTGTATTTAAATTCAGGCACTTACTCCAGAGACTACCCCATTTTTCTTTTTTTCTTTTTCTTTCAGCTTTCCCAGGTTGAGCAGAGTCTACTTTCTTAACCACGATACTGTGTGTTTGATTTATTTGTACATCTCACAGCATCATAAACACCTAGCGCTTTGCATCTAGTGGACATTGAATATTTATTCAATGATTTTTTTTTTTTTTAAAGAATGCAAGCCTTTGCTGTGAACGTGAGGGAGAAGGAAAGGGTTAACGTGTTTCCATCAGATTCTAGAACAATAAAGTCCAGTCGAGGGACTGCATCTTACCAAAGCCGAATGGCATAACCCTATTTATGGAGCCGTGCAGGCAGTGAGCAAGTGAGTGAACATGGTTTAAGACTTAAACCTGGAACCAGAAGAATACCAATAGCAAATGCATGCTGGTTATTTCCTTCTGCACAACAGCTACAAAATAACCTGGAACGTTAAGACCAATGTGATCACTGAACTTCTGTGAAATTATCATGATCTAGTGGAAAGGCCGCAGGGTTGGATCTGACTAGACCTAGATAAAACATCGAATTCCACCTCTTCCCAGCTGTGTGGCTTTGGGTACATTATGTAGCATCTCTGAGCCTTAGTATGCCCAATTTGAAAAGGAGGGGGTGTGCAACAAAAATACTAACTCCTAGCTTTCCAACATGATACTGTGTTCATAATGAAACACTGGAGAAGTATGCATTAAGTAACACTAGATTTTACAACAGAAAACTCCCACATCTCTAGCTACTAAAACATATCAGTGTGAGCAACAGACTTTTTTTTTTTTTCTTTTCTCTGAAGGGGTCTTCCTAACTGGCAGGTAGCTCCAGTCTCTGTGGTAATTTAGAAAGTGAAGGCCCTTTCATCTGTGGCTCCTCCACCTCCACAGGTTTGCTGTGTAAGGGGAAAGAGCATGGAAAACTCCTGTGGGAGGTTTCTATGGACCAGAAAGTGGCTCAGTCCCATGGCCACACCCAAGTGCAGGGATACAAGGGATACTGCAGTCTAGTAATGTCTGCAGGCATAAAAGGGAATAGTTTTGATCATTGACTGGCAATTCTAACTCCCATTTTTTCCACTGGGCTGTTGTGAGATAAATAAGTGAAAGCAGAGGAGATGACTCTGTTATCATAAAACTCTATGATATTGTAGCCAATTCCTAATGTAGATGCCCAAACATAGGAATATCCTAAACAACGGAAATGTAAAGCTCTCATCCACGTGTAAATGCCAATACCAAAAACAGTTTGCCAAGGCACATGGTGCATGGTGATGGTCCCAACAGGTGAGCAGGCTGACGGCAATTCAGTGTGGTCAGGTAGAGTGGTAGCGGTAACACACGACTCCATTAGAGGCTGTCTGATCACGTGAAAGGCTCGCAGACTCTTAGGACATTGGTCATTGACTACTGTGCAATAGATAAGAAAAAGTTGAATAGGAAATTTGAAAGGAAAAGCATAGCAAGGGCCAAAAATGGTACAGATGGATCTTTGAGAAAGAGCTGTTGTCTCCTCTTTCCTTTCTATCTGAATGCTGTAACAACTTCTGAGGATAAGTGAATTTGCCATTTCTCCCTGTGCAATTAAGAAGGATTTCTCAGTGATGAGCAGCTTCATAGATTTTTCATTATAACGTGATTTGTTTTTGTTTGGGTCATCTTTAAGGAAGTGGATGTGTACTGAATATCCCAATTTTCCAGGAAAGAATTAAGTGATATGTATTCATTTGTTTCCATCACTAAATGTTTTGCATTTTATCTGTGATATATCATTTTTGTTTTAACATAAATCCAAATGTATTTAGGGAATACAGAATGATGTTTAATACTTTTTTTGGTGAATTCCAATGATATATAATGTGTATATTAAATAAAGGATTTTCTATGGCATACTCTTTTTAAACTCCTTTATTTCTTACCATTCTTTATGTCACATATTATGTGCCATTCTTTACCTGGTAAAACACCTTTTGTTCAATTATTGTACTCTTTGTTATATATACTATATATATTATATATAGAGAGAGTGAGAGAGAGAGAGAACAGGATAAAAACATTCCATTTTTTAAAAGAGTGACTGATAATTTTTTTTGAGAGAGAACTGCCTTTAGGAATGTCTGCTTGGGGCAGGAGAGACCTCATAGACATGGACAGATGAACGGATTAAGGAAGAGAGACCACTGCTTTGAGGGAAGAGCTGAGTGAAGAGGAGAGTGAAGGAAAACTCAGTGAGACGGCTAGACTAGGAGAGTGAGGGCCAGGAAGGCCCCATGGAGGTTGTAGCAGGCAGCCTTCAAGATGCCCCCGTTTCCTGCTATTCACACCCAGTGTTCGCACAATGTAACCCTCTTCCACGTTGTACCAGGGATGGTTTGTGTGGCCAATTAGGATATGACAGGAATGGTGTTGTGTCACTTTCAAGATTAAAGGAGCATGGCTTCTTCTTAGGACCTCTCTCTCTTTCTGTGAGCAGCTATGGAGGAGCTCATGTGTCTAGGAGCTGAAGACTGGACAGCAGCCAATAAGGAACTGAATTCTGTCAGCAACTATCTGAGTGAGCTTTCAAGAAGCTCCATTGGCACTGGGTGAATCTTGAGGTGACTGCAGCCCCATGAGAGCCACTGAGCCAGAACCACCCAGAGGAGCTGCTCCTAGATTGCTCAGGTAATAAGTGTGCACTCTTTTAAGTTAGTCATGTTGGGGGGGAATTTGTTATGCAGCAATAGCTAACAAATAAAGTGGGAGAGGAGCCAAAGAGCATATTACTCACAGTGATGTCTGTTTTATGGAGCGTTCTGAGTGGAAAACGGACTCTGATCCTGTCTTAGTCCAATCAGGCTACAATAACAAACTACTACAGACTTGGTAGTGAATATGGTTTGAATATATGTCCCCATTAAAACTCATGTTGAAATGTAATCCCTAATGTTGGAGGTGGGGCCTGATGGGAGTGATTGGTCATAGGGGCAGATCCCTCATGGCTTGGTGCTGTCCTCACAATAGTGAGTGAGTTCTTGCAAGATCTCCTCCTTCACCCCCGACTCTCTCTTTCTCTTGCTCCTTCTCTGGCCATGTGATATGTTGGCTCCCTCTTTGCCTTCTGCCATGATTGAAAACTTCCTGAGGCCTCCCCAGAAGCTGGGCAGATGCCAGTGCCATACTTCCTGTACAGCCTGTGAACCGTGAGCCAATTAAACCTCTTTTCTTTACAAATTACCTAGTCTCAGGGGTTTCTTTATAGCAGTGCAAGAATGTCCTATTACAGTAGTTTATAAACAACAAAAATGTATTTCTTACCATTCTGGAGGCTGAGAAGTCCAAGGTTAAGGTACTGGCAGATTCATTATCTGGAGAAGGCCTACTTTATGGTTCACGAGTGGTCCTTTCTTGCCATGTCCTCCCATGGTGGAAGGGATGAGGAGGGTCTCTCAGGCCTCTTTTATAAGGGCACTAATCCCATTTATGAAGGTCTTGCCATTATGACCCAACAACCCCATAGTCTGTATCTCCTAATACCATCACCATGGGGGTGAGGATTCCAACCCATGAATTTTGGGAGAATCCAGACCATAGCAGATGCACATTTATCTTTAGACTCTGGGTCACACTTTATGTACCTGGGCAGCAAAGAAACCAGGAGAGGGAGACTTGAGTACCTTGAAGGTCTTGGGGCTTTGAATTTTCCTCTGAGATGATTTAGATGGGCCCCAGTTGAGCTGAGGATAGTCTTCTTGAAACAGACACAATTGCCAAAAATTCTGGCTCAAATTGGCAATGTGTTACCGTGTAAGGTGATAAGTAAGGAGCGTCTTTCTTGCAACCAACAGAAAACCTGCTCAGACTGGCTTATGCACAACAGGGCTTTAATTGTTTGCTGTAACTGAAAGGGCCAGAGATGGGTTGGCTTCAGGAGGGTTGGATCCAGTGGCTTCACAGTATATCCCCTGGTTTGGCTCCACCTGCCTCTCTGGTCTCCTCGGAGTTATCACCCCAAGTCTGGCTTCCGACATGCTCACAAGATGGCTGTCAGCCACATAAGGAGCTGGGCATAGGATGGCACCCTCCTTGTTCATGTCTAGCCAGCATGGACAGTTTTACTCTTCTGACCTGCAAACAGAAGTCACATGCTTCACGTTGGCAAGACGAGCTGAGGTTATGATTTCAATTCTGGACTGTGTTCTTCCATCTGGCCAGCAGCGTCTCCCTATCCCCTCTGGGCAAGGAGACTGGGTTTTGCCGGTGAATTAGTCCTGGAGGTGGGGTTCATAATGGAGCAGTGGTGGAAGGAAGGCTGGAACTGAGGTCCAGAGAAGTTAAGGGGTTGCCCAAGGCCAAACAGTGAGAAAGGTGAGAACTAGGTCTTGATGCAGAGTCTGTCTGGCCCCCAACTCCATGCTTGCCTCCTCTTGCCACATGGCTGTCATCCAAAGCCAAACCAGAACATATTATCCCCTCCCACATGTCTGGTACTGTGCTTTTTCTGTGTTCACACATTCATTTTTCATATCAGTCCTGTGTAGTGGCTATTGGTATTATTATTTCCATTTCGCTGATGTAGCAATGGGGCCTCAGGATGTGCAATCATCTCAGGGAAACCGACAGAGACCAGAGGAGTCCTCTGAACAGGTGGCAGAGTGAGAATCTCTGTGGGATGCTGCGGGGCCCCTTGCTGAAAGGAGCTCTGAGCTGTGGGGTATGGGGTGTCAGGCATGCAGTCAGGTTGCAGAAGCAGCATTCCAGTTAGAATTTTCAAGCATTCTGGAAAATTCTGAAAGCCATCCTTCAGCTCAGAGCATTGCTCAGTCTTGATCATCTCCCCTGTAAGCCCTTACCATCAGTGGCTCATGACCCTTCTTCTTGGTCATTTGGTTTCTGGCCTACTGTAGGGTGGGAGGAGGCCACAGGCCCTGGAAACAGGAGAACTTGCTATAATTGTCAGCTCCCCTTCTTAGGGAAGGCACTTTATCTCCCAGGGCCTTGGTTTCCACTTTTGTAAAACTAAGATAACACTGTGTTGCCTGGTTATGTTGAAAATGAAAGGGGGTGACATGTATAAAATGAATAATGGAGAGTGGAAATTCTTGCCCCTTGTAAGGGTTGTCATTACAGACATACAGAGTAATACCAAAGTAACTAGCAAGTTGCAGGAAGAAAGACTTCTAGAAATAGCACATACATAGTACATTTTTGGGTGAATTGGGTAATTCCTCACTTCCTTTTACATTTCAGCTGCTGAGTACATGGATCTGCTATATAGGCATAGAAAGGCCACACACACTGGTATTTTCTTCAGGTGATGGGAACAAAACTGGCTCTAGCCACCTTGAAGCCCACGTTCAAATCGGGAGAAAAAATTCTCTCTTGGATGTTCAAATCAGAGGCAAGTCCTAGAAGGTGGAAGAGGTGTCACCCTCAGGCTGGAAGTGCAACAGTGGATGACAAAGCGCTGCCAGTGGGTGGCAGGAGGAGACATGGGCTTTAGCAAAAATCCCTTCTGTACCAGGTCCCAGGAACCCAGGGAAGGTGAATCACAGATAGTAATTATGGGGGAATGAGAACAAGCATTGGCGTGAATCATCCATGCACCAAGTCACTGGCACCCCTCTTTCCTCACCTGCAAATCTCCTCTCTTCCTGTGGCTGGGATCTGAGGACTCTTATGTTGCCTTTGAAACTGTGAAAATGTTCTTGGGTCCATCTCTTTGGTTGCAGTTGCTTCTGGTGCTGCTATTATCTTGCTTCTCAACACAGACCTTCCAAGGGATCAGACATTGCTGTTGGTGCACATGTTGACTCTCTGCCCCGGTCACAGCCTATGGGAGTGCAAGAACCCAGCAAGTAGCTTCTATTGCCACTGGGATGGGAGATAGGTTTTTTTTCACCATATATATCTTTCTTTATTGAGCTCCTCAAAGCGTAGTCTCACTCTTCCTGCATTAAAATAGGAACAAGCAAGAAAAAAACAGCTGTCCTCTCTCTTGATGAAAGTATCCTTGGCTGACTCAGAGGACAACAAACAGGTCTATCCAGTGTCACAACCCAAAGTGTCCAACTGCCTCAATCCCCTGTGTATGCTCCGGGATAAAACCAGGAATGTCTCCTTCTATCTGAAATCCATCCAGGGAAATTCCTGGGAATTGAGTGCAGTCTTTGCCGCTGGCATTTGTTTGTCCCTGGCTCCATCTCCAGTCCCCAGAGTCCTTTTACCATTCTTCCCAGTAGGCCCAGTGTTTTCATGCAGAAGGAACCCCTGTTTTTGTTCATCAGTTAGCCAAGGACAGAATTTTAGAGCTAAAAGAAATCTAATTTCGCGCCTTTACTGAATACAGAACTAGAGAGGCCACGTAATTTGTCTGCAAGTTCATATCTAGTTAGGGGCAGAGCTAGACTTGATTCTTGGTCTTGGAGTGTCTAAGTCAGACCTCTTTCCACTGGAGCAGTAACTCATTCCCCAGGAGGTAGTCCCCAGATGGTGATGATCACCTCAGGGGCTGACAAAGGGGTTCATGGTATATATGTGTGGTCAGCAAAATGAGGTACAGTTTTCAAGCAATTAAAAATAGATTGGAAGAGAAGTACATCTATATCCGTAAAATTAAATTTATTGGAGGAAGTGTAATTTACATCTGAAATACAGATTCAAGATTAATCTAATATAGAGAAGACACGGAGAATTAACTCTTCCGACTGTTACTTTTGAGAATATGCATAATTGCTTCCTTTTTCTTGATAATGGATAAGATTATTTTTACTGTTCTTGACAGCTCCAGTATTTTCTTTTCCTCTCTGTTTTTTTGAGACCTAGTCTCTGTCACCCAGGCTGGAGGGCAGTGGCAACCTCCACCTCCCAGGTTCAAGCAATTCTTCCACCTCAGCCTTCCTAGTAGCTGGGACTACAGATGTGAGCCACCACGCCTGGCTCATTTTTATGTTTTTCATAGAGACAGGGTTTCACTATGTTGGCCAGGGTGGTCTCAAACTCCTGACCTCAGGTGATCCACCTGCCTCGGCCTCCTAAAGTGCTAGGATTAGAGGTGTGAGCCACCGCACCCAGCCAACAGCTCCAGTATTTTCAAGACAAAATGTGAAATTTCTTGAAATTGTCATTCCTCAACTGATTACTTTCTATTTAATCCATTTAGTACCTGTCAACAACTTGTGTATTTTTACAAAATAGTCATAGGTATCTCTTGTGTACTTTTTTTCTCGTCTTGGGATAACTAGACTAACCCAAGCAGTCCCAAAGGGGTGCCCTGGTGTACCCCAAGAGACACTGAGTTTTTCCAAGAGCGGGGACTCTGTGTAATCCATCTTTGGCTCATCATTGTATAAAGTTGTATTTTTTTTTTTTTGTGGAAGCCAAAACATTCCCTTATGTGTATGGGCTACAGAGTATCAGTTGAGATATGATCTGTAGATTCTATTTGCATCAATGGGATCCTTTCATTCCAGAGGCTTCGAGTCTCTGGTCACTCAGCACATAAGCCCTATGTAGTGTTTCGTCTGATGAAGCTTGTGAGCACTCTGCAGGAATCCATGCAGCAGCAGTGACCTCAGGTGTGGGGGACCAGAAATCAAATTGGGCCACCTCATCCACTGTTGTGGACACCCCAGCTTCCTAAGCTGGTGTTCAGCTGCTATTTACTAGCTATATTCAGGTACACA